TGGAAAATGTTCTCATGAGCTCCATTCCTTATTTCCACCAATTCAGACCTTTACAGCTAAGCCTCTCTCTACTCTATCGTAATTTCCATGGAAAATGTTCAGATGAGCTCCATTTCTTAGTTCCACCAGTTCAGATCTGTATAGCTAAGCCTCTCTCTATTCTATCGTTTTTCCATGGAAAATGTTCTCATGAGCTCCATTCCTTAGTTCCACCAGTTCAGATCTTTATAGCTAAGCCTCTCTCTACTCTATCGTTATTTCCATGGAGAATGTTCAGATGACCTCCATTCCTTAGTTCCACCAGTTCAGACCTTTACAGCTAAGCCTCTCTCTACTCTATCGTTATTTCCATGGAAAATGTTCAGATGAGCTCCATTCCTTAGTTCCACCAGTTCAGATCTTTACAGCTAAGCCTCTCTCTACTCTATCATTATTTCCATGGAAAATGTTCAGATGACCTCCATTCCTTAGTTCCACCAGTTCAGATCTTTACAGCTAAGCCTCTCTCTACTCTATCGTTATTTCCATGGAAAATGTTCTCATGAGCTCCATTCCTTAGTTCCACCATTTCAGATCTTTACAGCTAAGCCTCTCTCTACTCCATCGTTATTTCCATGGAAAATGTTCAGATGACCCCATTCCTTAGTTCCACCAGCTCAGATCTTTACAGCTAAGCCTCTCTCTACTCTACCGTTATTTCCATGGAAAATGTTCTCATGAGCTCCATTCCTTAGTTCCACCAGTTGAGACCTTTACAGCTAAGCCTCTCTCTACTCTATCATTATTTCCATGGAAAATGTTCTCATGAGCTCCATTCCTTAGTTCCACCAGTTGAGACCTTTACAGCTAAACCTCTCTCTACTCTATCATTATTTCCATGGAAAATGTTCTCATGAGCTCCATTCCTTAGTTCCACAAGTTCAGACCTTTACAGCTAAGCCTCTCTCTACTCTATCGTTATTTCCATGGAAAATGTTCAGATGAGCTCCATTTCTTAGTTCCACCAGTTCAGACCTTTACAGCTAAGCCTCTCTCTACTCTGTTGTTATTTCCATAGAAAATGTTCAGATGAGCTCCATTCCTTAGGTCCACCAGTTCAGACCTTTACAGCTAAGCCTCTCTCTACTCTATCGTTATTTCCATGGAAAATGTTCAGATGACCTCCATTCCTTACTTCCGCCAGTTCAGATCTTTATAGCTAAGCCTCTCTCTACTCTATTGTTATTTCCATGGAAAATGTTCAGATGACCTCCATTCCTTAGTTCCACCAGTTCAGACCTTTACAGCTAAGCCTCTCTCTACTCCATTGTTATTTTCATGGAAAATGATCAGATGAGCTCCATTCTTTAATTCTACCTTTTCAGACCTTCACAACTATGGTCTGACATTTCATGTACACATGTTTAACTCATCCTCATTTCCTGCATATTCAGTTGAGAGAGAGGAAGTTTCACTCAGTCAGCTTTTCCTCAAGGACTCTTACTTTGTGGAACAAACTACTGAGAGGATGCTTCTGTAATCACTACCATCTTAATCTCTTCAAGTCTAGGGTCAGTTGTTATCTATCCTACACTTCCTAATAATATGCATTTCCTATTTCCTGTTCTTACGCAGTTGAAACAACCTCACACAGTAACATTCAAAACAAGATAACTAATTTATTCATGGATTCATATGCTTGAAGTAGTGTCAGTAGCTCATTTCAGGAAAATAAATCACAATTCTTAAAGTCCATAGTTTTAATGTATTTTCATAAAGAGGAAATGTTCATACAATGATCTGACACAAAATAATATTAAAAAATCTTTAAAACAAACGTAAGCGAGTTTATTGCTCATTGAAGGGAGGGATATAAGGTTTACATATGTTCAAAAGTAGACAAAGAGATAGTTTGAAATACTTAGCTTTCTTGGATCATTGAAAGAAAATTCTTTGAAGTGTTCCATGCTTGGTTAGAAGCCGATATAATATATTTGGCAAATAATTTTACACTGACAAGAAGTTCAGTGCAAGTCTGGAGGAATCGAAATGATACTTCTCATATGACTTCTGACACTCTTCTCTGAGTAATTTAATTTTTATTTTATATCAAAAAGTATTTTGCATAGGTTCACTACATTTTTTCTTCTTGGCTGACCGGCTAATTTATGTGAAGGCAACATTTTCATTGGTCTAAAAACAATTTCACATATGCTTGTGAATATTTTTCCTCCTTCTTTTAAGGTCACTGGTCAATTTCTGTAAAGCCAAGGTTTTCATTGGTCCAAAGAAAATTTCACATGCTCATAAATTCCTTTCCGTGTTTTTTCGCACTCCTCTGAATTTGAAAAGAATGGTTGAAAAGAATTATTATTTCGCACTCACTACAGATGTTTATCTCTTGTTTCCTATTTAGGATTGGGTGTCTGTTTTCTTCTAAAAAGTCTTCTTTCTCTTTCACTTCCAGTAGCACCTTGCATCTCAGTGGCATTATCACCTTGCTTGGTGTTGAATCAATTAAAACATATCCAATATCTACAGTTCTTAATAGTGTAGAATCAGATTCCTACATTTTTTTAAATCTTAAATTTTGTGCAAGTTAAACACATAGAGGCTCCCAGCCAAATATAACAACTGATGTATTTTGATTGGTTGTAAAATATTAATTAGGTGTCGTCAAAAGGTACCGACCCAAATTTTGACCTCTAGTTGACGCCATAAAATGTAAACATGTTTACAAGCCTCCCCACGTGACCAAGAGAACTAATAAAAACGAAACTTCGACGCGACTTGGTCAGTGGGCACTTAAAAATATTAAACCAAATTCATTTGACTTCATTGAAATCAACACAGCAAAGGAGACGAACTTTATCTTCAATACAACAACAAACTTTGTCAACCATCTCCAGGCTTAACGCTCACTCCCACAAAATATTCCATTCCACAAGAATCTCTGGTTAATGAGCGATAACAATCAGTGAGTCAAGAACAATACTTTTTTTCTATTTAATACACAAAAAACATGTTTAATTTTCCTATAAAAACAAATATAGCTAACTAAACCTTGTCATTTTCACACATACAGTACAGTAGCTCAAATTCTTTCAGTAACACACACACACACCAAAGAACTCTATTGTGTTTATCAACTTTTGCACTATATATTATGTATTTGTTGTGTTTATAAAAAAATATTTATTGTTGAACAAATTCACATTTTCTTCTACTTGATTATTTCTCTTGTTGTTGTCTTTGTTACATTTGTTGATATTGTAAAAATTGTAGAGGGTCAGTTTTTATTTCTATTTATAACCAATACAAATTGGCTGACCCACTATAATAGTTAAGGTAAAAAGATTAATTTGATGAAAAATGCTGAAAAAAGATTTGCTTAAAGAAGAACCATCTAGTTTTTATAGATTGTAAAAACTTTCTTGCATTTGAAAAAAACAATGAGTCTTCATATGTTTATCAAAAGTTATATTATGCAGGCATGGAATATGCCTCATTGTTCTTAACAAATAAGTTTTTTTTTGTTTATTTCTTCATCATGATGAAAAAATAACTTAAAGCATATTGTCAAATTGATATTAAGTAAAAATTGCAAATATTCATGTTTTAACAATGTCTTGTATGTGCAATGATTGTAGGCATGGCTCTCACAAGTTCCTGTCCTTTGTAGCGCTTACTAAGATATGTCGTTTTGCTAGTACTAATCTGTTTCTGCCAACCCTTTACACAGACTTGTTAGGTAGGTTATTCACTGTTTATCTCTGTCCCTCTTCTTTCCTTCATGCCTTGTGAGTGTCAAATTTTTCAAGCCCTCTTTCCTCATTATCTGCCCTAAAAATTAAATTTTTACAACCGTCTTTTTTTTGAACACAAGTGTTTCTTTTGTTTCCATTCAGGGAGTTAATTATTATTATTACTTAAAAAAAAAATTATTGGAAGTCACCTACAATGAGTGCTGAAAACTTCGCGGTCTGACCAAGAATTGTCCAAGCCTATGCCTTTAAAAATGTTCTTCCGTTTGATCATTTAGTCAACCTTTTTATTTTTTGTAAGATTGTAGGGTCAAGAACTTTTCAGCACCCCTTGTATTTTCTCAGTAGCTACACCAGAATTACAGTTGAGGGGTCATATACTTTTTTTTAGGTTATTTATTGTTAAAAAAATTATCTGCGATTTTTGCTTCATTGTATTTTTAATTTTTTTTCAAATATTTAAAAATTTATTTCCTGTCAATAAAGTTGATTTTAATTGTATAACAATCTAACGTGCTTTCTTTGTGAACAGATTTTGCTTATTTATTTTTATTTTTGATCTTTATTATCAAAATTGGTCTTCTTATCAAACGAGCACGAAAATAGTAGATTTCTTGCAATATGAGACCACATATAAAAATTATGCCCCTTTGATTGCGCCAAACTCAAATCTAAAAGTTGATTTTTGACATTATTTTTTATATGATTTTCTGTTGTATTGCTCTTAATTTCCTTTATTTGAATGGAAACTCGTTGAAGTAAAAAAAAAAAAAATTTTAATCAATCGATTAAAAATTTGAAAAATAATTTATTTTATTGTATATAAATTTTGGTAAAATAAAATAAAAATAAAATATACACAACCAAGAATTATAGTTAACTGATGCATTTTATTTATAATTTGGAAATAATTTATAGAAGATTATTGTGTAAAGATTCTGAAATAACATAAAAATGTCATCTGGTCTTGAAAAAAATTAATAAAATTTCTATTGACAAAATTGACGTAACAAACAAGACATTTTTTTCGAGGTTTTTTAGTCTTAAACAATATGGCGGCACTGTTGTAGATACTGTAACGGGGAAACGTCAGTTTTTCTTATTAATTATCAGTTTATAGTTGTTTTATTACTTTGATAGTATTTTACCTGTAAAAGAGGGATGCTTAGTTGATGAAAAATGTACCCTAAAACAAACGGATCTTCGAAGCAACAAAGAAAATCGACCGGGAAACGAAGCATTTTAAGTGATTTAAACATGGTAAGTAAAAAGTTGTTTGAAAAAGGAAAGAAAAAAAAACAAAACAAAGTTGGATATGCTTTCTTTGCTTTTTTATTTTTGTTTGCTTTGAAAATACTGCAAAATAAACGGTATTTTCTCATTTCGTTTTAGTTCAGGTATTTAATTGTTAGTGTCGTTTCATAGAGAAGTTAAAAAAAAGAAAAAAGAATGACAATTGTAAATACTGGTTAGTAAAAATAGCTTCGTTCGAATTGTTTTTCTTTGACCGACACAAACAAGGAAGTCATGGATTTAAATTTTGAATTTAAATTCCAACTCTTCTATGAAAATCATGACGGAATTATATTTAATTAGAAAATAAATTTCTTTTTCGATTCTCAAAAGATGAAGGGCAGAAACTGCGGCTCATCTGGTGAGACGAAAAATTTACAGATTTTCTTTTTACTTTATGAACTCCATGGTCTCTAACCATATGAAATGATTATTTAAATCTCAAACATTTTTAATTTAAAAAAAAAACAAAACAACCGGATTAATTTATAAAATGAAAAGTAACTTATTTTTAAAAGTTATTTTTAAAAAGTTTAACTTCATAAAATTAATTTAAAAATAACAGTTGGATTGTTGCAATTATTAATAATTAAATTTAATTTACAAACACTAACAATGGTTTTAAAAAAAGCTGTAAAAATAAAAATGAAATGTATTGCTTCTGTCAAACTCAAAAGTTTCTAAAATGAAAGTCAGAAAGATAAAGAAATGGAAAGTATTATTTTAAAATTAAAATCCACAAATTACGAAAGATATATAAGAAAAATATTCGTACCTTTTTTTTTTTTAAACTAAAAAGAACTAAAGACAAAAAACATTGTATGATCGACAGTATCTTTGTGGGGGTGGGGTGCGAAAGTTTAATAGCGCCAAAAAAAACTAAAAAGACAATGTGTTACTGTTTTGCTTTTTAAATAATTGGCGCGCAGTTTTAAATTATCTCCCTTGAAAGCACTATTGTCAATAATGGGGCCAAAGAAAAATTTTTACAATCTATATAAAAAAGAAAATAAATTGACAATAAATAACACACACACACCTATATAATTTCATATATAATTAAAAATATATCTGTAAAAGGTCAATATGAACAAATACAGAAGGAAAACTTAGGTGACGCGTTTCGTCCTATGATGGACTTTCACTGTATCAAGAAGTCACATATTATTTGCCTTAGTCCTTCAGAGGACGAATACGTCACCTAAGATAAGTTTTTCTTTCTGTATTTATTTTCACACACACGCACATGTGTGTTTGTGTGTGTGTAGGTTGTCAAAAAAATTTCGGGCAACCAAGAAGTGATTCTAAAAATATTTTGTTATCGCGAACTTTGTAAAGAGCATGATTATCTAAAAAATAAAATTACAAAATAAAAAAAAATGCTAGAAACGAAATAATAATTAATGCGAAAACTTTCTGCATTAATTAATTATTATTTCCTTTCTCTAGCATTTTTTGTAATTTTATTTTGTAAATATTCATGCTCTTTACAAAGTTTGCTCATTATTTATTTTTAATTTAAAATAAAAGCTTTACAACAGTTGTCATTGTTTTTCTACACAGAAAAAGGGGTTTATAAAAACAAAAAACAAAAAAACAACTTGTCATCGCTTTCCGACACAAGTGTGCAGTAATTTAGACGAGTAAGAGCAGTAAAGGGCCATTAATCTTCCGCACTCAAAATGTTCCGTAGTGAATGTAGTTAAACAAGGCCAGTAATGACTGACGGCTGAACGCGGCCGAGTTTGAACCTTTATTGTTGATAACTCCAAAACAGTTGGTTTTTATCAAAATTTAATTGTTATTTTGAGTTCAGCATGTACATTTACACAGAAATATGACGATTTCAGAAAATTTTAATAGATATTTAGGCGCGGGGATTAAAAAGCAAATTTACCAATCCGTCCGGAAACTTTTCAGCTTACTGCATTTTTAAAAAAATTATTAAAAATAAAGTTTATGAAATTCACTGATAAGGTCTGTTTCTTTAATTCTTATTGTAATTTATTTTTTACTTTCGAATAAGTTGTATATTAAATCAAAATTGTATATTTTTAAGTTTAAAAATTTTAAACTTTTAAAAATATACAATTTTGATTTGGATCTACAGCTTATATCGAAAAATTAAAAAAAAAACCCAAAATAACAATGAAAATTAAACAACTTTTTTAGTTGAATTTTATTTTTAATGGGTACAGTCACTGTTCATTCAAACAAGTTTTGTAATAGACAAGTTGTCTTAATGACATTTTTATTGCTGGAAGATGAGTGTCCATGTTTCTTGTTGTCATTAACAAAATGAAAAACCTGTTCAAATATTTCTTAAGTTCAAGTGTCATGCCTGATGTACACTTTGGTGATCATGTCTCTTCACATCAATGCATGATTAACTTGCCATTACTTTCTGCGATACTGTTTGCCAACCAAGGCTATGGACCCAATTTCTTATTTAATTTAACCCATAGCTAGGGGTTAAGGGCGAGGGAGAGATGGATTTATACCTTTTCCAAGGGTATTTGTGTGTAAGTGAATGTTTTTACCACATTTGGGCACATCAACCATAACAACCGGCAATGAATTTGAATGAGAAATTGGAATGAGAAATCAAATTTTGAACTTTTCTCCGTGATTTCTCATTCCAAGCCACTATTCCTCACTCCACCTGCGCATCTTGTTCGAATTTGTTGTTGGTTGTTTTAATTCTACAAAATTATCCCCCACCGGACTGTCATATATGATTTAACTTCTTTATTTAAATAAGAAGGCTCTCTAGTTTCAGTAATCCAGAATCCTTTCTTAATAACCAATTTGTATGATATGTTTGCCATGTCAGTGTTAGAGAATTCAAATTAAATTTTATTTAAACTGATTGTTATGTTAGAACATTGTGGCCTTTTGAAACATTTGCCATGTAGGGATACAGAAGGCACTTATTTCCCTTTCATGGGGATAAGGCATGTGGGTCACATGACATCTACTTAGTGATGTCACACCATACAGTGATGAAAGTGGCAGTCAAATGCAGTTTGTTTACCAGCAGCTAAACAGTAAGGTTGCCTGGGCTGTAGAAAAAGAGAAAAAACAAAAAAAAAGTGACGAGAGGGTTCACGGCAAACCTGTTCTTTTTTGCCGTCGGTCGCCTCGAAGAAATGAATTGTGAGACACCTTTTCTCGTCCGTTACACCGGGCAGTTGTGAAACGGACACCTAAATCAGACGCGCATACTTCAACCGCCTCTTGGTTCGCCAGTCTATTCACACGTCTGACTCTGTTTCACAAAGTCCGCCGAATGACTCGCCTTCTTCCTGTGCCACTGGCGCCTTTTTATGCTACTCCGAGACTGCTGAAATTTGCATGTGTACTGGTACAATCTCATTTTGGATGAGACTGGCGTGTATAAATCGCGTCTTTGACAGCGGCCATGTTTTCTCTTGGATTTATCATGCAATCAAGACACATTCGCACACGTTTTGAGCTTCGAGGTAAGTCATCACATGGGCAGAGGCTAAATCTGCCTCCCCAGTGCAGCTTAGCAGTCCATGGTGCTGTTTCCCTTTGGGAATATATCTTTCCCAGATGTAGAAAGAAACTCCAGTTCACAGTCCTCAATTTAAGAAAACCCAGAGATTCACTGGTTCCTTGTTCATGAGACATAGATGAATCTGGCTTCCTAAGTATGGCTTCTCCAAACACAGGATTATCTCTATATCATACGTAAGACTGTACTTTTTTGCTTCTCCTTACACTCTTTGCTGTGTAGCGATATGTGATATATTATTTTCCATGTGGGACATGTGTATATATGAATATATAGTTTTGTCTTTGTCTGAGTGGTATAAAAGTCTGTCTGAGAACAAACCATGTTTGTCATTCCTTTTCCTTTCAGTTCCTTCCTGTCTGTGAAGTACGATGTTATTATATCACGAATATAATAATGCTCATAACAGTGGAAGTACAAATGGGAGAATAAATCTTTCTTCTATAATCAACAAATAATAATTGGTGTAAACAAAATGTAATTGTGATTCTTTCTCTTAGAGAAAGTGTGTCTGATGGAGCGAACATACCATCCATATAAATTGGCTATTAAAGAAGCATTCTGGATTGCTAAGAAAAAGTTAAGTTAAATAAGCAATCTATGACCATCTTGTTTGAATATAAAGACCTGAAATTAAGCCTGGCTTCAATTGTACTATCTGATGAAGGCATTTTTTTTTATATCAAGTCACTTCCCTTTTGCAACTGGTTTGTTGTATAAATTAATGTCTGTGTGTAAAATGACCCCCATCCACAAATATGCATTTTTAAGCAACCAATTTGACAAAAAAAAGTGTAATTTTTAGAGTTTTTTGTCAAATCCATATTTAAAGAATCTAAAATATGTCTACTATTACTACAACAACAACCAGTGTTAGATAAATTTTTTGAACCTCTCAGAAAATGTTTCCAAATCAATATGCAGACAACCACCAAACAAAAATAAGAATGCCTACTTGGCACGCTCACACACAAATGAATATACATTATCATTCGAATCCTGCATAGACAAACTAGAATTATGATACACTTACACAGACAAATTATATACACAAATGCTGCTTGACTAGACAGATGCATGTGAAGTCTGCTTAACCAATGAATAAACAAACAACACAAAAATTAAAAATGCCAGAATTTTTTCTCTTTCTTTCTTTTTCCTCATATCTCATTTTCTGATGAAGCTTTAATAAAAGTGAAACATGCTAGATTTATAAATGGTTCTTATTTTTTCCTTATCCTATCATTAAGCTATTATTAAATCAACAGAACTGCACCAACCATGCCACAAGTGGTTGCTTGCCATATACAATGCTACCTTGTTACCTGGTAAATATGTCTTGAAGTTCAAATGCTTGCTCATAATTTTGTCCAGAGTAAAAGAGATGCTAGACCATCAGTTGTTAGAAATTTGGAGATGTACTTGTGTG